GTTCTGCGCAGTGTCTGCTAGTTATTTTAGCATACGGCAGTGGAGGAAGTGAATGAAGCCAGTCTGTTGATGAGACTTCCAAATGAAATTAAATTTGTCTGACAAAGCAGCAGCTCTCATTTACAGTCGTCTCGTTCGGCTCGGCATATTTCTCCTCTCAGTAGGGTTGTTTACAGCACACGTGATTTCCAGTTAGCTTCTTAGCTTAGCCTCCGTCACAGCTATGGTCACAGTCAGCGACATACATCGCAGCCAACTGATCCAATCATTTTAAACTTCAGCAGAGGCCACGCCTCCTGCAAGAAACGCTTCTCAATGCAGCAAGTCCAGACCCTYGTACGAAGCAAAGTGAAGGACAGGGTCTGGTTTAAACCAGGATAGCCTACGGTAGTATTTTACCCTCTACTGTCCTGTCGTCAGTTACATCATCGCACCTGTGTCAACAGGGCTGCGAGTGCAGAGACAACTGAGCAGCAGGAGTTAGAAATATAATGAAGAAATATAGTGTTTTAAAACGCATTTAGACAGAATAAATCCTCAAAATTTCCCCCTCCCGCTGTAGAAAATTTACATCGTGTCGCAGGATCATTTCCTCCCTCCCTCCCGCTGCACGTCRCGCAGAGCGAAGCTTTAACAACCGTAGTTTTTTCACACCCAAGTTGTCGGAGAAAAACTTGTTTTTATGTATTTTTACCCACAGAGATGATAAAAACAAAAAAGACGTGGACRTTCGTTCAGTCAGAAATCCATCTTGCTAATATAAAGTCTGCTTCTGCTCTGATGACAAAGATGACAGCGCAGCAGAGCAGCAACAGGTCAGTTCAACAGGCAGATGCTCACAGTATGGCAAGCAGATGTTATATTTATTTGGCTTCACCACACTTACATTCTAGTTATCTGAAATTGTTTTATGACAGGACTATATACAACTTGAGCCCCTTAAGGTCCTGTCACACTTTAACATTTTAGGCAACTTATGCCAACTTATATGTTTTATGTCTAAATGACTAAATTTACTTGAAGTACTGGTTATAACATCCACTTTATTTTGATATTGTTGAAAATTTGAGAAATGTTTTTATTTGTTGAAACCGTTTTGCAATATAGATAAAACATTATTTTGTACTTCTGTTATGTTAATTTGCACTACAGCAAAAAATACTGGGTTTGATTTTGATTACGGTTTTCTGCTAAATAAATGCTCTAAAAATTACATTATCTTTACTTTTTACGATAATTTTCTACYGCGATRTRTACTGTTACCGTGAAGGGATTMAATTTATACAGTGATATGAATTTGAGGTCATACCGCCCAGCCCTAATTACAAACATCCCATAATAGTTRTGTTTTCGGTTCATTCTTTATTTTCAGCTGCTAACAATATATTCAGTCAACCCAGCAGGTCTATATTCTCTGTGTGAAGTTTAGACATGTTTAAAAATCAACCAGGCTGCTGTCAACACCTCTCTTATTGAAGTGGTGCAGCTGTGGATCCACCTCTCTGGTTTTACTGAGTGAGTTAATGAAGTATAAAAAGTACAGAGAGAGAGAAAAAAAATTAAAAGAAACTTTTTTTTTTATTTGTGTCTGAATCCACAGAGGTTGTGCAGAACAGGACTTCTCTGTTTTTCTAAAGCCGTGTTTGGAACCAGACAAGCTAGTGTTAAATTGTTGGAAAAATATGCGTTGTTCAAAATGGTATGTCTGAATAAACAGGATTCAGCTGGGTTTTTTCTTTAAAACTTTATTTTCAGTCTTCTG